TAGTTGAAGCTCGATGGGACGAGCTCCGCAACAATGCCGTGAGCAAGTGAGCGGAATGGTGTCGTGGATGCTTCGAAGAGATGGGACGGGATGAGCTTCGCAGCTTGGCGGCTGCCGGAGGCATCGCAGCGAGGACGGGCGACAGATGGCTGACGGTTGCGCAACTGCGCCCTGCGTTGTTGGAAGCCTTGGCACCCAAGGAGCAGACCCAGTCCCTATCTTTTGAGTATCAACAGGTATGTGCGCCAGCAGTGACATGTTGTATGTTCCTTTGAGTAACGCACTGGTGATGTTCGAAGTTGCTTTTCTTTCTGATGAACCGTGTTGCATATTTTGGAACCCGTGCGGAATGTGGCAATGTAATGCCCAATGTAATTGATAGTGTTTTGAGCAGGAGCCTTGTGAAGATGGCGATGCTGTGTGCGGCGCACGCCTTTTGTGGCGGTGGCTGGGATGCTGTGCTGTGTGGAGCGCGATACCATGCCTGACGCTTTGTTGTTACGAGAGGCGGTTACAGATCCAAAGGACGGCGCGCGTCTCTTGGCGGCCCTGAGTGAAAAGACTGTGGGTCAGGTGGAGGCGTTGCATCTGACGCATGCTATCCTGGACAGTCGTGTTGTGGATACGACTTTACCACTTCTTGCTACGTTTGATGAGTTCTTAGAAGCGTTGCCCAGCAAAGCTGCTCTGGATTCTGTGGATTTATTGCAGTGGTGGTCTTTTGTCTGCCTTTGGAGTGGAACATTTTTTGCGGCACCAGGTGGTAGCGTTGTTGTCCTGCGTGCTACTGAGTTCATCCGAAGAAAGGCGACGTGGATGGTGTCGCTTGGTAGGGTTCAGCATCCAAGCGGACATGTTGGAAGTGGCTGGCCGTTTGTGGGACGTGCATGCAGTGAAGGCTTCGTGCGAATGGGACCTTACGGGTGGTTATGATGATCGTGAAAATGTGTTGGAGGCCGGTGGCTGTCGATGTGATTTTAGTCTCCATCTGTTTCGCGTGCTATCGATGTCGGGGTAAATGTGTCATGATTGTTGACTGCAGGCGCTGGGCAAGTCTGTGTTGTCAAGTCTTTGTCTTGTGATTGTTGCAGGCGGTGCGCGACATACTCTGGGGCGCGAAGGCCTTGGTGGTGGATGAAGATGGGGAGGCGCGTCAGCGACGAGGTAAGCTGGATGTCGCAGACGTCACGTATTTGCGATGCTTGATGCAGAGATATGGTTGGGAGAGATGCGCAGGAGGGGTGGAGGTGTGTTATTGGTCAGAGTGTTTTCCTTCATCTCACTATCAGAACAAGAAGTACCTGCAATTTGTGTGGATGCTGGTCACACAACTACTTCATCCTCATAACATGCCTCCGTCGCAAGCTCTTCGCTCACGTCACAGCCCAGCAATTGCACGAGAACTTCGTGCGTCCAGGACCCGTTTTCTTTTTCGTAGCCATCTACGAAGCCATCCAAGAAAGGTATGTGGAAATCCCTTTTTGGCCAGGACAGGATTTCCATATACCATGAAAGTATGAAAACCAAACAAACAGTAAAGCTTAAGAAGGATGAAGCGCACATAAAATACATTTATGTGCCCTTCATCTCACTTCAAGTTTCCATGAAGCCTCACCAAACCAAACAGTAAAGCTTAAGAAGGATGAAGCGCGCATAAAATACATTTATGTGCGCTTCATTCTGTTAAAAAAAATCAGGATTTCCATATACCATCCTGATTTTTTTGAACAGAACGAAGCGCACATATATAAGTGTATTTTCTGTGCGCTTCATCCTTCTTAAGCTTTACTGTTTGTTTGGTTTTCATACTTTTGGCCAGAATGAAGCGCGCATACATGTATTTTATGTGCGCTTCATCCTGCTTAAGCTATACTGTTTGTTGTTTTTTCGTAAGTCTTGTGTTTTTCTTTGTGGGGTTCGGTGTTCAGGTTATAACGGTTATAGTATTGCTTCTCACTCCGGTGGTGGCGCAGTTGGAGCTGGATATACGGCAATGGCAGGAAGAGCAGCACTGCGCGCGACTACCGACTGCAGACGAACACAATGTGCTGTTTAAGCGCACCGCTAACTACTGCAACAAGGAGAAGAGCATGCGTTGTCGTTCCATGCGAGCTGCGTATCCTGCCGGTGTGGAGAGCATATGAGAGCATCCAGGAATTGAATTTGGATTGTTTGGAGGCCTCGGCCGACGGAGATGGGTGTGTAAAATGGAGATCGGACGTGGAGAGGCAAATGATACAGTCCATCTCTGGATGGCATAAAGGTGATGTTGTGAAGAGCGCCTTTGCGCCATTGGGTGCAGTGCTTTTTGGTGTTGGCGCACCTGTTGTCGATGCTGACATGGATGGCGATGCCGCCGGTGTTGCGGAGGAAAATGTGGACACGGAGCCTTTGTCGGAAGAGATGCAACATACCCAGATGGCCAAAGAAGTTTTTGCAGTGTTAGAAAATGTGAATCTGAAGTTTGAGACCAAGTTGCGGACAGCGGCGCAGATGTTGGCCTGCGCTCCCACCTTTACTGGGGTTGGTGGGGCGTTGTCGCGTTTGGTGTTATGTTGTCAGGATGACGACGTTGTTCAGAAACCGTTGCGGCGGTATCAGTGTCGTTTGTGCCGCTTCGGCGCTTCTGGAGGAAAGGCGTTCTGGGATCACATCGTGGAGAAACACAGCGGTGGCGCTGATGATAGTCGGGCGCTCATCGAGTATCGCAACAAGGTTATCGGATTGGCGACGCATTTGGGACCTTGAGATGCTTGGCTTCGTTTATAAGATGGACATCATGAATATTTTCGGGGTATGTTGGTACCGAGGTTCTTTTGGGTTTGCACGCCTCATTTGCGCGTGTGTTTTCATGTCAGGTCACAAGCTTTGCGTCACAGCGTCACTTGATGGAGAACGCAGATGACAGGCTCAGACAACCGGAGCAAGGAGGCCGCTTTGAGACGGCCTGTGTCGTGTGTGCTCGTAGGTTTTGGCGAGAGCAGCTGAAGATGTTGATTTTGTTCCAAGATCCTGCCGGCAACTCCGAGTTGAATGATAGTGCGGTGGATGTGATTCCGCGCGGTCAACAGGAGCGCTTGCGTCGAATTCTCGAGGTTGAAAGATACAGTCGACGCTGGCCCCACATTCCGGTCACGGAATTATGCGCTTCTGATGTGGAGCATCCGTATTGCAAGGGTGAGCACCTGCTTTTGCACAAGCGAAGGATGCCGGTGGATTTGAAAGATCTTTGCCTGGTATGCGTGGATTGCAAGGGATCTTTGTTGTCTTCCATTCTTACACTTCCTCGGCACAGCTTGGCGAACGACCTCTGGATCGGCGAGCAACCATCTCCACTGCGTGACTTGGCTTCGGCCACGAAGCGATTACTTCCAATGACCAGGGCGTGTATGCAGGTGGTTGTCTTGCAACCAGGGCACTTGGCGCGGGAAGAGCATCAGCATGGATTTGTGGGGAACACCATTTTTTGCCTCAAGCAAAACCGTCTTCGGTGCTGAAGACCTTGCCCCCGCAAGAGGTGGACACGCAAGATAAAATTCTCTTTGTCTTGGTTGATAGCCAGAAGGATGCAGCGCAGGGGTCGTCTTTGTTGCGAGCGCCAAGGAATGAGGACGCTGCTGCTGTGGAGTGTCTGCGGCAACGAATCCTTTCTATGCAGAAGCTGCAGAAGTGACACTGGCAGATGGTGGTGATGATCTTTTGGAAGGTTGCGTGTTGGAAACAGCAGAGGATTCTGCTTTGGCGAAGGAACTGTTACAGAGAGGACCTGCCGACGCATAAGGACAAGAAACACCGGAGGATGAGGAAAACGATGACACCGCTGAAGAAAAAGATCGAGGCAAAGATGTACCAGGCGGAGCGTGGGTGTTGTTGGTACGTACAGTATTTGTTTTCTTGCGATCGTTTGCTTGACGGTCGGGGCTGTCCGAGTGAAGCAAACGAGAGCAGATTTGGGGATTTTAGTGAGTTGCTTGAAGATGCATTGTGAACGGTTTGCTATAGGACAGACGAAGAACGCGTCGCAGGTCATTTGATGTCCTGCATGGTTGGTTTGAATGATGGAGCCGATGAACAAAACAAGTGGGTGTGTGTGGTGAAGGACATGGAGGAGGATTGCTTGAGACAGGGCGGTCAGCGAAGGAATCATGCTGCTGCTGTGGCTCGAAATCGCATCAACAACAAGGTTATGGCCTGGTTCCTCCGTGCCCGCCATGTGCACAGCACGGGCTTCGACAGACACCCCGATCGCGGCAGTTGCTGCATCGAGCTCCAATATGCCACGTGTGGAGCAACCCATGGCCGCTGGATTGGATGGCAGGGAGTCGCTGTCGAAGAAGCGATGTACCACTGGTGCTGTGGACACTGAACCGACAAAGATGCGGGCAATGAGAAAGGCACTCCAACGCATTCTGGTGGATCTTTCAAGGGATGTGCAAGATGTTGGCTTTTACACAGGCGAGTATGCATCGAAGAAGTTTCAGATTTCGCGCAGCATGTTGCCTGAATTGTGTGCAGGACTGCGTTTGCTGTGGGTGGTGTTATTTTTTCGTGAAGATTTTGATTTTAATTATCATGGCGGTATCGGTTAGTAGTTTTAGCTGCACTGTCTAACGTTGCGTTTCGGTTGGATTTCATTTATGTGGATGCTTGTGGGAACGTTGCAGGAGTTCAACGATTAGAAGAGGAAGAAAAGAAGAAGGAAGAGAACTCTGCGACGGGGAACCAGCAAGAAGTTGCAGGGGGAAGCAGGGGCAGTGTGATGAGCGGGCAAACAGAATCGCGCGCTGATGATTTTGCGACGATTGGCCTTTGCAATGAATCGTTGCGTGGCCAAATCCTATGGGAAGATTGGCCGCCAGTTGCTGTTCGAGCAGGAGCGCATTGTGACGTATAGTGGATACAATATGTTTTTCTGGTACGTGCCTTTTGCGATGATGCGATGCAGGCAGGAGGACATGGAGAATGTCTTGCAGCAGAAGCCGCATCTGAAGAGTTCTCCTTTGGACGTTGTTGAAGATCCTGAAGGACAGGGACCAGTGGCGGTGGATGAGGTTGCTGAGGTCATGGATGAGGAAGGTGAAGCGCGCACAGTTCAGCAGGCGCATGTGAACTTCAACCAGAAAGACGATTACCTGCACAGGGGTTCTTCTGTGTTACTGCAATGCATGTCCCTGGTGATCTATTCTCGTTTCGCGCGCAGGGTTTCAAGGAACAAAGCTGGCAAAGTGGATGGAGTGAAAATTCTTCAATTTCGATGAACATTATCCTCGCTTCCATTCTTCTGTTCAGGCCTGTTCGGGAATTGTGCCCAGAAAATGATGTAATGGACATCCGAGACATTGTGATAGCAGTTGTGTTTGTATATGTTGTAGGTATTATCTGTCTATGTAAGTAGTGGTAAAGACAACTGTGGCTTTTATGTGAATACTGTTGCTCGAAAGCAAGCATCTGCAAACAACTATGCAGGAGGTGAGAGCAGCAGATGACAACGTAGTGGTGCCGGCAAACTTACATCTGCCAGCTGATGTGGAAGTGCAGAAATATGCTGCTCACATGTTGGGACTGTCTTATCCTTTTCCGACCTGTTCTAAGGATTGCAGTCTGTCACATCGATGCTTTGCTTGCCACGCTATGGTGGAGGATGGAAAGGAATGCGTGCTCCGTGCGCGCTTCTCAACGCACTGGACGCGGTGGAAGGCTCACATGTCAATGTGGAGGTACTCGGCGGAGGAAAGAGTCTTGGCTGCCTTGTCGGCTCCAGTGATCCGGGATGTTGCAGGGGTGCGTCCATATTTGATGGGCGCCAAGGACACCAGTGTCGCTTTTCGATATGTGGAGGAGGTGTTTTTTAGAACAAAAGGAGCGGATTGTCGCTCTCATGACGTGCTGCGCATCTGTGAGCGCGTGGGCTGGTTCGCAGGCGGCTTCACTACACGCAACCGACATCGCAAGAGTTTTTCGCCCATCTCCAGGGAGCGCTTTGAGCAGCACCATGCTGCTCGTCGTTTGAGCAGCAGTCGTCGCAGAGCGGAGCGTTTTGCTCTGATGACTTCCTTGGAATGACTTCTTTGGACAAGGTGGAGGATCTGGAAGATGATGCGGCGCCAACCGACATAGAAGGAGATGATGTCGAAGATGATCTGCGGCTGCATGAGGAGCTGGAGAACTTGGAACGCGCACAGTGGCCGGTGGATGGGGACTCTTTGCATGAGGCAATGTTTCGAGAAGAAGAATGGATGAAGGTGTTGGGTCGTCGCAGAACGTCGGTATTGCAAGATACTTTGAAGTGCTTACGTGACTTTGTGAATGGTTTGGGGGGTGTTCCAGACGCCAGAACTGATTTGGGCATCAAGAACAGTGTGATCACTGGGGTGGAACGCAACTGGACATCTGCTGAAGCTCAGCAATCGTTGAGGCTGCAAAAACAATATTTGGAATTCTGTGTCGGAGGCGGGATGCGTTGCTGTTTCGCTGAATGTGAGTGACGAGAAACTTCGTTGTTTGGTTTCGATTCTAGTTTTTCCTTGGTATGTTTCCATGGTTGCGACTGAAGTGTTGATTTGTGCGATTGGGACGCGATGTCTTTCTACTTCATCTCCATGGATGAGGTACCGAAGATGGTGAGAGATGGTGGTGGACCATGGGTTTCAGCCTTTGCAGGAAACGGAAGATGTGTTTTTGGTGAAACTTAACGAGAAGAACATGGGTCCATCTGATTACGCGGCTGCTTTGCTGGTTGAGCATAGTTCGAATCGTCAACAGATTTTCGCGATCACTCCCACTGCTTGGGTTATGGAGCAGATGTGGGCGAACCGTACCAAGCCGGACACCTGCAGAGCTGATGGTGCATGCAACGAAAGTTGCAACTGTCTTTGGCTTGGGGCTGGTGGCTCCGGGAAGACATATGCTTGCACCAGGGTATTGAGACCGTTATTTCGACGCTTCTTTGGCTTGGGCGGCTACGTTGTGGGTGCTCAGCAAAGGCGACCCAATCGAGAAAAAATCCGCCCGCACCGAAGGTGCTGAGGCGTTTTATAGGGCACGCGTGATTCCTAAGTATCGCCAGTAGTACTGTAGCTTTAGCTAGGGGGGGGCCATTTTCGCTCTAGAATCCTGTGCTTTTTCACGTTTTTGGAACCGGTTTAAAGTGCTTTCGTGCTAATGTTGGGTATCTTGAAGGCTTTAGGGATGCAAGAAATGCAAGTTTCTGCTTTGCATCATCTGAATCATCTGAGCGGCACACTATCTAACGGACATGTCTGCGAGATAGGGACTTGAACATCCGGGTACGTGGGTGGTCAGGAGCAGAGATAAGCAGGTCAGGTCCAGGAACGGTAACATTATCTCCCGAGCATAGCTCCCATATGGTCGAACATAACTCCAGAAGTCCCTATCTTAAGTACGCTTCCTCGAGATAGGTACTTGAACGTCGTAAACATGGTCTAACGAAGGCTCCCAAGGGACTGGAATAGCGTGAAGATATTGTCTAACCGAGCGCAGGACGTGTCTGCGAGATAGGGACTTGAACGTCGTAAACTGGTACGCAACATAGCCCTCGAAGTCCCTATCTAATGGACGTGTCTGCGCGATAGGGACTAGAACATCCGGGAACGTGGCTGGTCCGGAGCAGAGATAAGCAGGTCAGGTCCAGGAACGGGTACGTAAGATAACCCTAGAAGTCACTATCCAACGGACATGTCTGCGAGATAAGGACTTGAACGTCCGGAACGTCCGGGTACGTGGCTGGTCAGGAGCAGAGATAAGCAGGTCAGGTCCAGGAACGGTAACAGTATCTCCCGAGCATAGCTCCCATATGGTCGAACATAACTCCAGAAGTCCCTATCTTAAGTACGCTTCCTCGAGATAGGTACTTGAACGTCGTAAACATGGTCTAACGAAGGCTCCCAAGGGACTGGAATAGCGTGCAGATATTGTCTAACCGAGCGCTCGAAGGCACTATCGAAAGGACGTGTCTGCGAGATAGGGACTTGAACGTCGTAAGCTGGTACGCCACATAGCCCTCGAAGTCCCTATCTAATGGACGTGTCTGCGCGATAGGGACTAGAACACCCGGGAACGTGGCTGGTCAGGAGCAGAGATAAGCAGGTCAGGTCCAGGAACGGGTACGTAGCATAACCCTATAGAAGTCACTATCCAACGGACATGTCGGCGAGATAGGGACTGAGCGGTACGTAACATAACCCTAGAAGTCACTATCTAACGAACATAACTCCAGAAGTCCCTATCTTAAGTACGCTTCCTCGAGATAGGTACTTGAACGTCGTAAACATGGTCTAACAAAGGCTCCCAAGGGACTGGAATAGCGTGCAGATATTGTCTAACCGAGCGCAGGACGTGTCTGCGAGATAGGGACTTGAACGTCGTAAACTGGTACGCCACATAGCCCTCGAAGTCCCTATCTAATGGACGTGTCT